CCGGATGTTTGACTATGTTATATTGATTCAATGTGACATTACAGTCTATTTCAATACAACTCAATGAAAATGTAAACAAAGGAAAACTTGAACCGATCATAAGACAGCCTGCTGACATCCAATAGTAATGAATAATTTATTAATCGATTGTTTCGATTTGTTATTAATTTCATTTACAGTGTATTTCTGTGATAAATGCAAAACTTATTTAACTATTAATTCATTAGCTTTGTTTAAAGTCTAACGAAACTTGTTACGTGTTTTGTATTCCAAATAGAATTAATAAATGTTTATGGAATCTCTTAGGGGTTTGAGTGTCAATCGTTATAGTTCTTCCTTATGTTTTATACTTTTTTTTTTTTAATGGATGATAATGGAATGGTAACCTCACCCGCGCTATCGGTATACACCGGCGGGGCACCAGTGAAGGATGATAGGTGAGGATGAAGGGTCAGTTAGCCCATCGTGACGAATTCAACAAGAATTGTTCACGATGTTTTCCAGGGGGAACCACGTGGAGGTTCACCTAATAAGACATATTGCTAGCAATGGGGCTGTCAAACTCCATTACTAACAATCCCTTTCCCCCCTATGTTTTATACTATAACGATATTAGTGTAGTATATAATTGCTGTGTGGTTCCGACAGAATGGACCACCCCTCCCTTTGTCGTGGGTGTCGTAAGAGGTGACTAAGGGAATTTAATGGTCGAGGAATGGGCAGCAGCGTACTTTATAAAACATCACCAAAACTTAACTATAATTAAGTTTTAACAACCCGTTCACCAAGCGTGGCAACTAATGGCAAAATCCCCCAAGGGGGATGCCTATGTTCAGCAGTGGACAGTTAAAAGCTGATATGATGATGATGATGACAAGTACAATAATACATAGACTATTTAAATTCTATGTTGTTAGTCAGCGTTGAGATTTATTCATAAAAACATCAGGTGGTGGACAAAAGTGGACGAGGACTATCTCTTATAACTGTCAATTGAATAAGTCCAAGTTCAGCAGGTATTAAATAGAGGGCTGCAATTATGATGAATATATATGTATATAAAATATTTATTTACATAGTTTTCAAATTACTTTGTAAAAAGATGGAGGTTCTCAATTAAGTTTTATTTTATTATGTTTTTTTTTGATGGGTTAAAATGGTATGGTAACCCCGCCTGCGCTAACGGGATACGCTGGCGGAGCACCAGTGAAGGGTGATCGATGAGAATGAAAACAGGCCAGTTAGCCCATCATGATGAATTCATCAGGAATTAACCATGATAGTTTCCAGGGAGAACTTAGAGGAGGTCGACCTGGTTGGGTATATTGCTAGCAATAGGATTCTCAGTCTCCATTACTAACAATCCCTTTCCCCCCTTATTATGTTTGTTATTGCACAACTCCATAATTAATAAACCGATTTGAAAATTTTATATCTGAAGGAAACTTCTATGAGACATATATACCAACAGAAATCTTCCATTATATACCTATTTTTATATTATTATTTTCTTTATTTGTAAAGTACATTCTGTAGTTTAGTTTTTAAATAACTGGTTTTGTCACAATTGAAGTTGTTGTTTTTTTTTTATTTTATATGCTTAGAAAATACAATTTGCTTTACCGAGCTTAACAAATAGTGTACCAGAAACATACTTTAGTAGGCTAGGTGTCTAGTTCCTGACAGTATTGCAATCATAGACAGCTTTCGAAAATATAGTTTACAGACATAAGTAGGCGGGCGAAGCAGGCGTAAGATGTAGTGTGACTCACAAATTCGGAACTGGTTTTTCGCGTCGTAACGTCGCACATCAGGCACGATAGCACAATGTGGAGGCGAGTGCGAAAGTAGAACGAAACGTTAATATTAATAGACATTAAAAGTATACTACTTGTATTTATGAAATATATATCATTGATAAGTAGATAGAATTCCTAACAAGCTTTTGTTAGATTCAACTGCAACCATAGAGTACTGTTATAATACTGAAATAGGCACTATTTCAATATCTTTTAATTGGTTTCAAAAAGGTGGAATTTTTATCATGTACATTATATCTTTAGAAAATTTGATGATTCTTTTTGCAATCTATAGGATTCATCTTTGTATCATCTGTGATGCCTAAACATAGTCAAACTGAACTGAGATTAAGACCATAAAATTCTCTAGCTACAGTTTAGGATTCTTTGGTAAATGAGAACTAAATGGGGATTTTTTAAATTTAAGTTTGCTAATAACAAGCCTTAACTTCAACTCTTTCATTAGATGCTTTAAAAAACTTGCAAATTATGTATCACAGACCTTCTAATAGCCCTGTGTAGTAAAAAATTAATTATCAAATATCAGAATTCCGAAATTTATACCCAAATTAAATTAAAATTTAGACCCATTTCTAAATCAAAATATGAATTAATAAAAAAACATAATTGCTCATTTCAATATATGTTATTCAATCTCGATTAAACACCTGAGTGGCTTGTAATGACATGTACAAGTAATGAAGTTTAAAATAGTCATGTAGTAAAAATTTTATGAACTAGTTGTTATTTTGCAGAAGTCCATATCACTAGTTAGTTAATTAGAATTATTTTGTTTAATAAGCTACCATACTATATATGTGTGTGACTACCAACTTGAATATTAACTACTATGACTATAACCAAAACTCTTACAACCTTCCATATTAGACATCAATCTTTGCATACTAATGGTAGTGGAATAACATAAAATAATTCTAATTAACTAATCCATTGAAGTAGTAATTAATACAGATTATAAAAAAAACAAAAAAATTAAGATACCTATTTTAATTAACATATTTGTAATCATTAACACATTAATGTTATAAATAAGAATTTATAAGGCTTTTAAATGTTTATTGCGGCAGTTAAATGGATAAACAAATTTAAATAAAATTTGGTACACAGATAGATCATGTCTTGTAAATTTATACAAGCTATGTAATAGTAATAAATGGTACTTAATAAAATTTTCATACATAACTATATATTATGGGAATAAAGTACCATATATCTTCAAAGTCACTTTCCATCAGGTGGGTCGTCAGCTTGTTTGCCATTCTAGGTTGTATAAAAAAAACAAGTTCATAAGAAATAAAGACATCAAATTCTACCAGACATACAAAAGTTGACTGAAAGAAAGGCTATTTATGGAATAAGTGTAATAGTGGATATTATTCATTTTCCTCTTAAGAAATCTGCATCCTATAATTTAAGATTTTAGCATACTATAGACGATGGTTAATACTTATCATTAGGTGGGCCATCAATTTGTTAACCATTCTAAGTTGCATAAAAAAATATACCAACAAACAATAGTATGTATATATTTTTTTAAATATGCTAATGGACTTGTGACCATTGGCATATTTAAGATTATTGTCCAGAGTGGAGCTTGGCTCCTAAAAAAGATACATATGTGTACTCTCAAACATGTCTTTGCAAAATTTATTTACATCCTGAGGTGTGCATCATACAATTCTAGGATGAGTACAACCTACCCAGCCTCCTAATACTCCTATGCAAAAGACACAATTGTTTTTATTTCATGTACTTCAATATGGTTGTCTACCCATGCCTTATTTCATAGAACATATGCAAGGAATAGTTCATCAGTAGTGGTATATAATTAATATAGGTAATTTCAGGTATCACTGATCTAATTAAACAGGTGATGTTAGAATATTTTAAGCTTTATAATGATGTAGCTTTTCTGCATATAAAAGTGTTGTTTTACTGTATTTTATTTATAGATTGTAAAATTTATATATTATATAAATAAAGATTTCCATGCCTAGATGGTTAAAGGAAACAGATAATCAAACCTGCTTGAATGAATGATGGAGCTTTTAAATATTCCTGTCTGTTTTTGCTAGCAAATAATAATAATACTTATTTAACTTCATAAATTATCATAACTTTACAAAAATTATAAAATACACTTTTATTACCACTCATTTTTTATATAATACCTGAACAGTCTCGCTTTATGGCATTCACAAATGTTTATAGCATTCTTTATGTGCAATTATAGATGTGCTGTTAGATGTTATCAAGTCATTTATTATATCTGCACATTATATACATATAAATAATTTTCTATTTGTTCTTTTCATTTCAAGATAGCAAAAGATTAAATAACTTGTTCTATTGGGCATTCCAATGTTTTAAACATTATTACTTTTATTATTTCTTCAGTAGCAATAATTTAACACATAATTAATTTACTTAATAAATTTATTAGCTTTTGTCTCTAAATTTATTAAATTTATTTTTCTTTGCTGCATTATTCTGCTTTATGTTACATTTAAAGTATAGAAAAAAATAAAAGCAAATTGAGAATATCCTTTTTTTGAAGTTGGTTAATAAAATCACATTATATACAATGCAAGTATTATAATAAAATGCAGCACAGTGTATGCTATGACAAATATTAATATTATTAAAATAATGACACCATTTTAGTGTTTTTATGAGGTAGTTAATTATTTACATTAATATTTCTTGGTGCTATAAAAGTATACAATAATATTATTATGTACAATTTGTTTTTTATTTGGTGAAACTTCATAATTAATTTGTGAAATATTATACACTTACTAATTTTGTTATACTATATATTTTGATGTTATAATTTAGAAATTTATAAAATATAGATATTTCAAAATTACATATTTTATTTAATTATTTTATAAGACACATTAGTCAGTAGATACCGTAAGGATTAAATAATTCGAATATAACAGGTACAAAATAATGAGTACATGAATATTGTTGTGATGATAGTGATATATAAATAAGATTAGAAGTGTTTAATTTTCAATGCTTAACTAATTCTAATTATTGGAATATTATATTTGCGATACGGGTAACAGGTTTAATAAACACAAAGTGCCAAAAAACGATCGACAACAAAATGTGGTGAACGATTTGTGTACAGCGAATAAGACATTGGATAAGTATAGCTTACAAAAAACTTACCACTCTCAATATATGGCAGTGCGAGAAGTAGAAAAACTATGTATCCAATTTCACTAAACATTGTCGCTTCCAAACACACACTTTTCATATCACTAAGTCATTGCACTACACAATACAGCTGATTTTCAAACCACACAAAACCTTTGTCTGTTTTTGACAACAACGCATGCGCGTGCAAATATTTTTTTTATTTACAATACTAAAAAATCACTTTTGTTATACGCGTAAGATAATTACCCTTAGCCACCATGAACATTAGCAATAAATATGATTTAAGACGAATTGAATCAAACATTAACAATTTGTTTCCGTGTTGTGAATGGCCAAACAAAAAAAAAAACATTAACATTAATAAATACAATTAAAATATTAAATGTTCAGCGCCAATAACCTAACATTTCAACTTAATCACAATATTTTATTCTTATCCTAACAATAAAAATAAAAATAAGTTCTCGAATCAACGTCCCCACGGTCTGACATATTGGAAGTATATGACCATAAACAATATATTATTTCAATAGTGTTAGACAAAGGGCAATAAATATACAGCCTTTAAATGTTATGTGTAAACCATAGTGAATTAATACTTTTTGTTTAAAAATGAGGTATTTCTATTAATATTACATTGAAGTCTTTTTAAGTTTTTTTTTTAATCGCACGCATGCTACTAAAATGGTATGTATCTATGGTAAAAGAGATACTGCTTCTTGGTTATAAACTACTAGTGATTTGATCTTTTATTATTACATGAGTAAAAAAAATTTCAAAAATAATAACTAACCTAAGAATATATAGCTTACTTGGTCTATGTCTATAGCCTATATTATTCGTTCTCTATATGTAGAATTTTTAAAATCCGTTTACTTTTTGAGTTTATCCATCGACGATTATGTCTTTCTTTTTTATGTAATGTAATCATGAAATATAATAGGGAAAGCGCGGGAAACGTTTAAAAAAGCGGGAGTGTTTTTTGATCTTCTTTAAATTAATTTTATTTTTAATTATATAAGGATTAGTCTTATTTATATATTGTGTATTAGATTGTATATATAATTGTATATTTTGTAGTAATAGTGTTTGTTGCTGTAAATATTGGTAAGTAAATTACCTATATTAATTAGACATTATGGATCCACCTATAGACCCTGGGGGGACAACCCCCAGGTGTCTGCAAATATAACTATCCCATTTAATAATAGTTTTGATATATTGGGTGAATCTAGTATGGACACAGATGGTTCTAGCGTTGCAAGTTCTAAACGTAAGCGAGTACGTGGCGAACGTCGCATTTGCAAACATTGCAATAAAAAACGAAGGAGGCACACCAAAGGTCTCGAATCTAAAATTAAAGATAGTGATTGTCAATGTATTGAGGATGAGAATCAAACTCTAGTATCAATACCAGTTGTAAATAATACCGAGTCTGTTAAACCTGCTTCTCCACCCAGTACTTTAAGCAGAACTTTGTACAATGCCGAGGATGTAGCTCCTTATGTCGTTCATGTACAAAAAAATGAAACACATCCTAATGATAACACTACATTACATCCTATTGCATTTGGTCGCTTTTTACACACTAATAAGATAAATAATATAGTGAATGGTAGCCTCAAAAGAATAGGAAGAAACCGTTTATCGCTTTCTTTCTCAAATTTTGAATGCAAATGCATTTTTAAATAATAGTCACTTAGAAACATATAATTTTAAGGCATTTATACCTTCTTTCCATGTAACCCGTATGGGAATTGTGAGGGGTATTCCTAAAGATTGGACAGAAGAGGAAGTAATCCAAAATATATCAGTACCTATAGGTTGTGGGAGAATTCTAAAAACCAGAAGAATTAAGAAAAAGACCATTAATGAAGGACAACCAAGTTTTATTAATACTGAAACCATTGTTATTACTTTTGATGGACAAATATTACCAAAAAGAGTATTTATGTTTTACACATCATTAACTGTAGATTTGTACATTTACCCCACTATCCAATGCTATAACTGCTGTAGGTTCGGACATGTCAAGATGCAGTGTCGTTCAAATCCTCGGTGTTATAAATGCAGGCAAAATCATACAGGTGATAAATGTGAAGTAGATGAGGAAAATGTTTCTTGTATCTTGTGTAATGGTTCTCATTCAGCAATTAGTAAGAAATGTCCTGAATATGCACGTCAGAAAGCCATTAAAGAAACAATGGCCCACAGTTGTGTTTCTTATGCTGAAGCATCAAAATTTCATCCTCCCACTTCTAAACTATATTCAGATGTATTAACATCATCATCTCCGTCCAATAAATCTCATTTTCAATCTTCTTTTCTCAAAGAGAAATCATCATTACCACATATTCAATCATCACATAAAAAAACAGTTACACTTAAACCACGCTCTCCTCAAAAAGCACAACAAGGATATGATCGTTCTGCCCATGAAGCCATAGTTAAGGAATATAATATTCCTGCTCCCTCTAATGGTTGTGCATTATCATCAAATAATATTGACAATAATCAATCCATCTTTGATATTATTCTCATGCTTATTAAAGTGTTATCGCAATCGAAGATGATACAAACAACTTTACCACCGTCCAACGATGCCATTTACAATGTATTTTCTCAATTATTAACTTCTCACAATGGATTACAAAGTCCTAATAATTCAGTGGAACTGTCGTAGCATAACAAACAAGAAATCCGACTTATTTTATTTGATTAATAAATATAATCCTTTTATAATAGCTCTCCAAGAGACTTGGTTAAAGCCAGGATATCCTTTTAGGATTTCAGGCTTTACAAGTCTCCGAGATGATAGAGCTGACGGATATGGCGGTGTTGCCATATTGGTCAAAAACTCCCTTCCTTTTTCTTCTTTTTCGCTTCCTGTATATAGCGGCATTAATGCAGCTGCTATAATTATAAATGGTATCTGTTTTGTTACTTTATATATTCCTGATCCTACATGCCAAATATATTCACAACTAGAACAATTATTTTCAATTTTACCTAAACCTTTTCTCGTAATGGGCGATTTTAATGCTCAACACCAATCGTGGGGCAGTTCTACTTCTAATTTTTATGGTGGAAAACTCCTGACGATAATTGACACTTACAACTTATGTATTATTAACTCAGATGTACCAACACGTAGAACTGCACCGAATGAAGGGTTTAGTGCTCCTGACATTTCAATATGTTCTTCTGATTTAGCTTCTTCACTGTCGTGGTATCCTCATTCCTCTACTTTCGGAAGCGATCACTTTCCCCTCATTCTTTCTTTTCCAATTTCCATTCCCTCAAGTCGAAAGAGTGGTCCTCGGCTTAAATATAATTTATCAAATGTAGACTGGAATATTTACAAACAATATTTAGATAATAAAATATCGGAGTTACCTATTGTTTACCATGGAAATGAACATCAATGTTGTAATGACTTGATGATAAATATGAAGGAGGTTGCTGATTTATTATTTCCTGTTAAAAATAGTGCTTCAGGGAAAATTCCCTCGCCACCTTGGTGGGACAAAGATTGTACGGAAGCAATTAAAAATCGTAAAGAGGCTGAAAAAAATTATAATAATTACATGACACCAGAAAATTTTGAAATTTACACCGCAGTTTCACGTTCTACTCGAAAACTACTGAAAAAAAAGAAATTAGAAGGCTGGAGAAGATTTTGTTCTTCTATCTGTCCAGAAGTTAATTCATCAGTCGTTTGGAATAATATTAAAAGATTCAGATCTGCCTTTAGTGATCATACATCACGTTCTGCACTCGATTTAACTTTAGCGAATAAATTTTTAGATCGTCTTGCTCCTAGTTATGTGCCGGAATGCCTTTACAATATTTCTCTATCCGTCTCTGACGAATTATTCGAACTTGACTCTCCTTTTACTCTAGTAGAACTTAAAGGTGTTCTAGCTTCTATTAAAGACTCTGCACCGGGAGAAGACGGTATACCGTATTCCTTTTTTAAAAATGCTAGCGATGCGACATTAATTTACTTTTTAAATATAATTAATTCCATAATTATTTCGGGAAATATACCTACTTCATGGAAGTCTCAGATTATTATACCATTTCTAAAGCCTCATAAACCACCTTCTGAACCATCTTCATACCGCCCTGTTGCACTTTCCTCTGTCTTACTAAAGCTAGCTGAACATTTAGTGAAAAACCGTCTAGAATGGTTTTTAGAAAGTAATAACTTACTATCCCCGAACCAGTTTGGTTTTAGGAAAGGTAAGAGCACCTTAGATAATGTGAGCATTCTTATTTCAGATATTCATATAGCTTTCTCACAAAATTTGTCAATCCTCTCAGCCTTTTTAGATATAAATTCTGCCTATGATAATGTAATAATTTCTATTTTAAAAACTAAATTACAAGCTCTAAATGTACCGGTAATGCTTTCTAATTTCATTATTAATATTTTATCAGAAAGAACAATATATATGAATTTAGATGAAGATACCAAATTATCTAGAACAGTATGGAAAGGCCTTCCACAAGGATCTGTTCTCAGTCCAATCTTATTTAACATATACACATACGATCTAGAATTATTCCTTGATAAATCCGTCAAAATTTTACAATATGCTGATGATCTTTTATTATATTTTATTGCGAAGTCCATAGAATCTGCTTCTGCCAAATTATCTGATTCATTAGATTTGTTAAAAACGTGGTTAGATGCAAATGGTCTTAATCTTTCTGTAACCAAGAGTAGTGTAGTTTTGTTTTCAAGAATGAGATCACCGCAACAAATTAAGGTGCTTTATGATAACTCATACATTCCTATAAAGACTGAAATTAAATTTTTAGGTATCGTGCTAGATAATAAATTAACAGGTCTGTCCCACTGTAATTATATTTCTACGAAATGTGAGCGTAACCTCAACATTCTTAGGTGCCTTGCTGGAGTTTGGTGGGGAGCACATCCCGTTTCACTAAAACTTGCTTATAATGGTCTTATAAGGAGTGTCATTGATTATGGAACTTTTTTGTTAGCTCCAGGAAGTTCATTTGCTTTTAAGAAATTGGATTTAATTCAATCAAAGGCCTTGAGGATTATCTCTGGAGCAATGAAATCAAGTCCAATCAATGCTTTACAGCTCGAAGTCGGTGATCCACCTTTGGTTTTAAGAAGGCAATATCTATCTGATCGCTTCTTTTTTCGTTGTTTACAATTATCTGATCATCCGCTTATTCAAAAGTTATCTCAACTACATATCTTTATTTCGTCTTCATCTTATTGGAAACATAAAAACCTCCATGTTTAATACAAAGTTATGAAAAATATAAATCCATAGAATCTCCCACTTTTACATCGTCCTGTTTTCCCATTTATAAATGCTCATATCAATCTTTAGTTTTATCTCCTAATATTAAATATGATTTTGGGTTATTAAAAAATGATTCAGAATTGTATGCCAAATTTATGTTTATAACTGACATTGAATGGAATGAATGGCACTACATCTTTACTGATGCATCAAAACCAGACAATAGCGGTTGTGTAGGTGTGGGTGTGTTTCATTCACAATTTAATATCGTTCAAAAAATTAAACTTCCACCGGAGTCTTCAGTTTTTACCGGGGAATGTTATGGTATTTTAAAAGCTGTAGAATATATACTTTTAATGAAATTACATAAGGCAATAGTTTTCACTGACTCTATGAGCTCTTTGCAAGCTCTAGCCAAATATCCGTTTAAATCAAAACCAGTTTATCCCATTATTTGTGACATAAGACAAAGTCTTTATCTTTGCATGTTGAGAGGTTATTCCGTTTCTTTTGCCTGGTTACCAGGACACAGTGGTATTAGCGGCAATGACAAAGCTGACCTTATTGCAAGAGAGGCTGTAACTTGTGGTGATATGTATCCGTATCATAATTACTGTAGTGACCTAGCTTGTCTCCCAAAAATATATTTAAGGTATGCCTGGAAGGAATATTGGGAAAAAACAAGTACAATAAAAGGAAGATTTTATCGCCTTATACAACCCGATATTCCTTTCAAACCATGGTTCTGTAAATTAAAGCTTGGAAAGACCGCAACAACTATTATAACTCGTATGCGTCTAGGTCACGTATGCACACCTTCTCATTTATACAAGCTTGGTATTGTACAAAGTTCGTCGTGTAATTGCGGTGCTGAAGTGGCGGACTTGAATCATATATTCTTCTCATGTTCTAAATTTGACCACACCTCCCTTTTTAATCATCTCCGATCCATCCGTGTTCCATTCCCAACTTCTATTCTTACTCTACTTTCTTCCAATGATCCTATTATCTATAAAATACTATCTTCATATATATATGATAACAATATTAAGATTTAGTTATATTACATGAATACATTTATAGTTGCATCAATTGCTTTTCCTATATATTTATAAGTATATTCTCATATGTACAAGTATATCTTTCATATCCTATAAATATCCTAGACCTAATCCTTATCCTTTCTAAATTCGTTTGTGTTAGGTATTTTTATTACTATTATCGTTTCCCCGTTTTGTTCTTGGCAAAATACCCTAATATCGGGGTGAACGCCACAAAAAAAAAAAAAAAAAAAAAAAAAATATAATAGTGTCTACTGAGGAATTATATTATTACTTAATAACTGCAACTAATTTCTTATATTTATCTTTTTCATACGTAGCTTTATTCTTATAATACGACCTAACCAAAATTTGGGTCTTTTAATAGTTTTTATCAGAGTTAATCAATGTTAATTATTATTAAATATTAGGGTCGATTAAAAATTAGGCCTATTACATCATGTTATAAAATGTTTCCTAATTGCTATATAGGTTAAATCATAAACTTAATGTAACGTATTGGTTAAATTTATAAACAGTATAAGTAACGTATAAGACGGGTGCTCAATCGGTCCATCATGATCGACCCTGGTGAAACAACCCTGAAATAATGGTTAAATGTATTTTTTTGGGTCAATTAATGCCATAATGTAGTGGTAACAAACAACTAATTCATTACCTATGTTTAGTTTATGAATAGCTCTATAGATGCAACACGATCGTTTGTTCGCTAATCGCTTTTAGGTAGGTGATATGTTAAAAATGAAGATTAAACGTAAATACCATGCAATTTTCCATTATTGCAACTGTCTGCTATTATAGGATATCACATAACTTAGTGAATGGGTACAGTAGAAATAAAATAGAAATAACTTTGTTTTATTTTATTAGGTAACAAATTGTGGAACATGTTACTGTTTAGGCACTAACATATTAAATTACAGATTTACTGTAGAAATAGGAACATTATAAATAATACCTATATTCTTATACAGCGCATTATTTAAGCTGAAACTTGTTAATATGCTCTCACTTATATGACAATTTTGAGTTAATAAATATATCAGTATTCCATAATTCATATAATTAACAGGTACACAATCTAACAAAGATTTCTTACTTTGTTATTTATTATATAAATATGAAATAATGGAACTTCGTTGTTGTATAAAAACAAGTACTTATAGTATTATTATATTTATAACAATTTTATAATGACAAGGTTGGCACGTTAACGGATCTGTCTTAAGCCAAATCAGTCAGGACTTGACAGTGAGAGCATGCATCGCGCTCACGCGTAGATATACTTAGAGCACTGTAAAATTGTTAAATGCGAATAAATTTGCGACAACCCTGCGGAGTCTTGAAAGGAAGATTAGTACATTTTACATATAGAGTAAAAAGTATATAATTTATGCCCAGTTTCTTTATTCTTATACTTGTTATAAAATTATTAATAAAGCTTTGTACATAATTATTATAAACTCTGATGAATTTGTTTGAACCTTTAAAAATTAAAAACAATGATAATTATGTTCAATCCACTTTATTGTCTGCTATAGCAGATACTCACTGACTAGAGGATGATTCCAAAATCGGTATATTTTAGATACTATAAAACATTTATAGTAGTAGTATACAAATTCATAATTATACACGATTGCTGAAATTATAAAACTATAATTATATGTTTTACATATTACAAACATTAATGGTTTTATATAAAAAATATAGTTACTGTATAATAATGAAATTGAGAAATCACCTTTTTCATATTTTTATTTTTCGATTTCGATTGAATACTTAGCGACGAGTCATCTCGAAAACGAGTTTCTACTGTATGACATTAATATATAATGCTAATAGAAAAAAAAAAACACCATGTATTTGTTATTCAGATTGTAGCAAAATTTCAGTAAGGTTTCAGTCTGGGTTTCTATTTGTTGTACCCTGTATAGAACACCTTTTTTCAATAACACAGGAGGGCAAACGAGCCCGGGCTCACCTAATAGTAACTACCGTCGCTCATAAGCATCCGCAACACCAGAGGCATTGCAGCTATGCTACCGGCCTTTTAAAAAGTATTATGTTCTTACTTCAAGATGCCTAATTATTTAGGATAATCATTTCAATAATGTACTCGATAAAATGTAGATACAATATAACCTTGTACAGTAAATATATTATTGAACGACTTCCTTAAAAATAACATGTAAATATCACCTTACGATGCCCTTCTTAGGATGATGTTTGAAACGATTTCTGTTACAGTGCACAGTTTAGTCTGTAGTTGACATTTATATATATATATATATATGGGAAGATTTTCAGTTTCAAATTTGAACATCAGACAAAGTCGAAATTATGAGACACTAAATGAAATGGTGCTTATATGAACTTAGTATATTAAGCAAAATATTATTACAATTTTAGCATTATAATTAAACATATTTAAATCGTTAATGGAAGACAATATGATGAATGTGTTGCGTTATTCCATTCAAATTGGTTTATATTAATGCTCCTAATTATTGTGATAGATAAAGTTAAATAATAAGTGACAGATGTTAATAACAGGCGTACAAAGATATATTAGTAACTTGCGCAGGCGATGGATGCTTGGCGTACATTTTATCCGTCATAATATAATTAACACAAAGCAATATTTTGCACTCTGCAGGCGAAATATCCTTCATCTGCACAGGTCTTAAGGATCAAAGTACACAAACGAAGTGGCGACGAAGACTAGTAAATACACATTTGTTCTTTTATCTATTTCTTTATAATTCCCGCTAAAGCTCGGTGTCTTTATATGAACGGCTTCAAGTACCATTATGCGTCATTTAGAGTTGTAGTTTGTTACCTCAATTTCAGCTATGAAAAGTGAAAATTGAATTGCTAATTGAATGACTTTAGCCACATTATCTAAATTATAATGAATTAGCCTCATCACCACTCCGTCGGTCTTTAACGTATACATTTATAGCAATATCTAAATGTTCTATTGTATTTTATAATACACAGTATCATTGGTGATAGGTATATTGATTAAGACTCCTTTATCAGGTACATTACGTTAGAATATATTCACTCAACTTTTCAGGTGGAAACACTCCCTTTTCCGTGATTATACCTGTAATCAAACTGGCTGGAGTTACATCAAATGATGGGTTCCAGCAGCTTATTCCTGAAATAAAAGTTTTTAAAGGGTAAGTTTCCGAATTATTGAGTAATTAAGTGTCTCACAGCATTGTGAGTATTTAGTTTTTACATTTGGTAAAGTGATTCAGTTTGAAGGGTGGGATATGGCGTGAATTTACTGGGTACAGAGGAATAACACCTGAGTCCTCAGGAATGGCAAAGCATGAGGGGTATCATGGGCGAAACAGTATACTCTGTTATGTCCATGGTACTGCTCATGTCTATAGGCGACGGTTACCACTTTACATCAGGTGCCCACCTGTCAGCTTGTTTGTTATTCTAAGTTGTATAAAAAAAATAAAAAAAAAGTTATAATACTTTACTATGCTATTAATGAAATAAATGTGAAAATTTGTAACAATGGATGGATGGATGTTACTCTTTCATGCAATAACTACTGAATGGTTAAATCATGAAATTTTGTATACAGGTGGTAGGTAGATTACATTCTAACTTAACACATAGGATAGATTATGTACTGATTTACGCAGATGAAGGTACGGGATACAGCTAGTTGTGCAATAAAGTTGACAGATGTCTCTACTTAATAAATAAAGTGACCACAAACCTGGTGCGGCAATTCTATGTTCACCAATGTGCGTCATCTCCCTATCAGGCCGCTCTTCAATCTTAATCTTATCGCCGGAGGTAAGCGACATGTCAATAGACGTGAGAGGTGCTGCTACGTAGAAAGGCACTCCATGGTATTTGGCCACTATGGCTATTTGATACGTTCCAATTTTGTTTGCTGTATCGCCATTGGCTGCAACCTGTAATTTGATTTGCATATGATCATACAATAAGTATTTTAGCAACAATTTCGTATGAGACATACATACTCATAATTATAGAAAAAATGACCAAAGGGTCTCTATATCAGCACACTATTAGTAGCACTGATACTCTAATAGGTTCCACAAAAAAAAAACACATGTAAACACATTTCCCAACATAAAATAAAATAAATACAACGAAACAAATCAACAGTCGAAATATGAATGGGTAATATTTAGAAAACATTTATTAATTAGTATGAAATATTATCATAATAAGGATAAGCAAGCTGAAATGGCAATGGGCTGACCACGTAGGTCGAAAAACCAACAACCGATGGTGAAGAAATTTTCTTGAGTGGTGACCCCACAAACACAGTGTAGGACAATCCCCCTTCCCACTAGATGGAGTGATAATCTCAAATACATAACAAGGAGTCAGTGGATGCAGGTGGCTTAGGATCGTTCCCTATGGCAGTCTTTAGGGGAGGCCTATGTCCAGCACTGGATAGATAATAGCTGAAATATCTATCATAATAATATATGAACGTTGGAAAATGTGCTACATTATGAACACGGTCATTGGGATTTAAACAAGTATATCCTTTCCAACTAATGCCACATAGACAAATAAAAATATAACGTACCCTGTCTGCACCAACGACTACGGCGCTGATCTTTCTCAGGTGCATAAGAGCAGACACCATGCTATCTACAATTAATGTGGCTGGAATCTTCTCGTGTACAAGTTCATATGCTGTGAGTCTCGCTCCCTGATTGTATGGTCGAGTTTCGGTGCAGTAAACATGTTCTAAAAAGGATTAATCATTACAATTATTAACATATATTATAACAAAAAATGAAAAAAACTAATATATAAACGTGTCACGGTGTTTGGCCGGATTAACCGATTGTCATGAAATTTTGTGGCCTCTAGACAATATTTTTTATCGCTTAAATATAAATTTTTTTTTATATTTTTTTGACAAAAAAAAAAAAATATGATTTACTGAAAAATAATATTATTCTATATAATAAATATGCTACAAAATATAATGGATCATTTTTTTATGTTACTTAGGATGGCAAACAAGCTGACGGTCCACCTGATGGAAAGCAATAACCGTAGCCTATAGACACATATGACCATAAAATTTAAAAAAGGCATTATTATTTGCATTGATGGATTCTAAGATACAAATTTTCAAATGCAATTTTCATTAAAAAAAAAACAGTTTACAAAAGTTTTAAGTTTAAATTTGTAAACCTCTATTATATGCATCAAATAAATAAACAAGAAACTATTTCGATAAAAAAAAAAAACTTTTTGTCGGGGCACTAATCGAGGGGCTAGGCAGTCGTCTATACTATGTAATGTTTAATTCAGCCTTGCTCATAAAAACGTATTTTTGTTTTTAAATAAATAATATGCATGACATTAAGACTTGTGATATAAAGGGAATTGTGTGAAAATTTTGGTCAATTGTTAGTAGAAAATTTTAACAATTGAAAAAGTGTAGACCTACCTAAATATTTAAAACTACAGTCCTAGTCTACTGTTTTCAGATGTTATAATGCTTACCTAGCTTTTTAGACGCATGTAAGGATCTGATAACCCCTAGCGCAGTACCATACCCAGCAGTGGCGAGGGAGCCAGTGTTACAATGTGTTAATATCCTAACTTGACCATCGCCCTCCAAATTCTTCAATATTGCTTCACAACCGTAACTGCCTATAGCTTTATTATCATCTATGTCTTTGGCCAGCATGCTTTCTATGCTGTTAATGAATCTGTTAATAGATAATCATTCTTAATAGGTTAGTTTTAGAGTTGGAATTCATTCATGCATGTATGAATGTGTTGAACTTCTGTTAATTATTGGTATAGTTCGGTTATTAAAATAGAAAGATAGATAGAAATCACAAGTTCAGAGATATTGTTTGTTTTATTTATCTTCTTGTGAAAAAGGATAAATTAAAAAGTAAAATACAAAAATAAAATATGATACATTCCAGTCAGTTACATTCAAGTGAGTTTTTTTAGTTCTCCCAATGAGATATTTTTCCAGAATAAAAAGTAAATGTTAGCTTATTGACCAAAAATTTTATAAACATTTTTTTCTCTATTTCACTACATAGAGAGATTTTTTTATTAGAATTCATCACCATTTCAATCATTCACAGTTCATTGCTGAACATAATTTAAATAAATGAAATTATAAAATCTTAATTATTAAATGATTACTCGAAAACTATGTTTAAAGTGTAATTTAAATTATGTACATATTGATAGTCAACGCCGACCATGAACTCAAGTTTGGCTCAGATTAATTAGTAGGTAATACCTAGTAAAAATAATTTTCAAGTAGACATAATGTTTAGACTGTACATACCTTTCTTTGAATTCGTTAGGTGAAACATTTTCATCGGCGCTTAGAACATTTGCTAAATTTATCAGCTCCTCTGCTGCCAATTTTATATTGACAGCAGTTGGCCGCGCCGACACTAGGTAATTGAGCTTACCTTCAATCTGTAATTAGGGAATATGCCAACTTTAATGAGATCTTATGATTATTTACGGCGATCACGCATTCAAGAAAACTGAGTTATTTTATTAATATAATAAAATTCTAACTAGGCAATATCTGTACATAGGAAATAAAAAAAAAAAACATTGATATGAGGGGTCTCAATAAAAAGACATAATTTGTTGAATATTTATCTGTCTGTATATTTGTTCGTAGTAGGTATAGATATAAAGGAACTACGCCCACAGCTACATCCATGTAGAAAAATTAACATAATGCCATACTTTTGTCAACTCTGAAGAAAGTTTGATTATTTATCTATTGATAGCATTTACTTAATTCTAATATAAATATTGTAAAGATTTAAATCACTGTTTTACACTGATTTATTAAAACATATTTACTAATTATGTGTGAAATACCTATCTAAGATATATATATATATATATATATATATAAATATTCTGTGCCATTTATAATACTGTTTCTGTCTAGCGATGGCAGATACAAATATGTGTTATGTAATAATATTAAATATAAATCAAAATACCTAAACAAATGAAACACTATTTGCTCTAAAATCCACATAGTAGAAGCATGATGTGCTCACATGAGCAAGTCATGCTACTTATCTGGTCTTTATCATATTGTTCATGTGTAATAAGTATTATGGGATTAAATAAAATGTATTAATTATAATGAAGTTATGTCTTCAAACAATTTTAAAGTAATACTTGTAATGGCAACCATACCATTTATCAATTCAAACTCAACTATTAGTAGTCTTGAAAGTCAATAACAATTTTCCCTAAAAAACAATGTTTGAGATATGACTGTATGTGTCCATGTGGTTAGTAAATTGTATGACACTTAGGGAAAGTTGTTCAGATTAATGAAAATTCTCTGGATTTTTCAAGATACGTCCATTTCCATTATTTCCATACACCAATTGCATAAAGAAAAGTATATAGATTTAGATTCCTAAAGATTACATTTTATTTGAATGTTAAATGTTTTTTGTGATTATTTTTCAAGTTTAAGAAGTAAAGTATGTAGATAATTAAAATTGTTATTACTTATTGCTAAATTATGAAGTAATATTGATAGTAACTAACCTCTTGCCTCATGATCTTCTTATCAGAACAATTATCCCTCTCTAACTCAATGGCAAGTGATAAGCAACCTACAATTGCTATTGCAGGAGCACCTCTCACCTTAAATGTTAAATAAACATTATTAATATTAAATGTATTTTAAGATCTGTTAATTATTATTATTATTTAATCATGGGTAGGGGATTTTATTTTTAATTGGTAATAATGAAATAATTATCCTACCAGCGCTACCGTTAAATGCCGGTGGGGTACAAGTGAGTGATGATAAATGAGGATGAAAGCATGTCAGTTGTTTCCACCTGATAAATTCAATTAATTGCAATAGTTTCTACGGGGAACCACATGGAGGTTGACCTAATAGAGTAATTCTAACAATTTGGCTTATCTGACCCTATTAAAAACAATCTCTTTCTCCCAGGGGGAGGGAAGCGAGAATGTCAGTTCAAAATTCTCTTTTCTATTAAAAATTTCTTGAGCAATTTGTTATGATGGGCCAACTGATCTGACTCAGTCAACTTCATCCTCATTTATTATCCTGCACTAGTGTCCAACCAGCATATACTAATAGTGTCAATGGGCTTACATTTCTATTTTCATTTTATACAAAAAATCATTGTTACTTTAAAATCTTTTTCATACACATTGTATAACAATTACAAATTTTTCTCAATTTATAGCTAATGAAATTAAGAGCAGTAGAACAACTAAGTTTTTTATTGCATAATTTTTTTACAGCTTCAACAATGATATGTATGTGCAGAGATTAAATTAGATGTAAATAAATTCGATATTGAATTTTACTTTATTCCCACATTTTATTTAAACATATGAAATATGGCATTCCTAACATATTTAAATAAGGGGGAAGGGATTGTTAGCAATGGAGTTTATGAGCTTCATGGCTTTGACAGAATATATCCCATTTTTTTAACTGCTAAACTTTGTATTTGTTTATTATAATAAAGTTTCATGTTTAGTAGAATGGTAAAGGAACTATTTTTTCCGTAATAAAATTGTAAATACAATGTTTCAATTAAAATATTTAATTTTAATAGATACCTGCATTTTATTGATAACTTTCCATCCATCTTCTACGCCTTGCACTTTAACATAGCGAGTTTGTAATGGAAGCAACAGTTGGTCTAGAATTTCTAGATTTCCTCGCTTGTATCTTATAGATTCCAAACTCATGGTGAAATAATATAAATTTTATATTTCAAAACAGCTGTAAATTATGTTACTTTATTAATAAGCTTCAATAAAAAATATATGATAAAGGTTATTTGTAATATTACTTACCAATAGAAAAAGTATAATATGCATAAAAAATAATTTACTCTAATTAATATCAATAAATATAAAATAATAAATTAGCTATCAATAATAATTTAAAAAATAAATACTAGTCGTATCATTTAATTTTTTTGTAAATCGACATAACATTTCTTTGACTATGGATCAAATAAGTGGAATAAAATATCAATTTTTCATCTGTCAGTGTATGACAGTTTTTTTTTTTTTTTTTTTTTTTTTTTTTTTGTTTAATTGTATTTTGCCAAGAACAAAACGGGGAAACGATAATAGTAATAAAAATACCTAACACAAACGAATTTAGAAAGGATAAGGATTAGGTCTAGGATATTTATAGGATATGAAGGATATACTTGTACATATGAGAATATACTTATAAATATATAGGAAAAGCAATTGATGCAACTATAAATATATTCATGTAATATAACTAAATCTTAATATTGTTATCATATATATATGAAGATAGTATTTTATAGATAATAGAATCATTGGAAGAAAGTAGAGTAAGAATAGAAGTTGGGAATGGAACACGGATGGATCGGAGATGATTAAAAAGGACGTGGCGAACATGAGAAGAATATATGATTCAAGTCCGCAACTTCAGCACCGCAATTAAACTACGAACTTTGTACAATACCAAGCTTGTATAAATTAGGTGTGCATACGTGACCTAGACGCAAACGAGTTATAATAGTTGTTGTGGTCTTTCCAAGCTTTAATTTACAAAACCATGGTTTGAAAGGAATAGGTTGTATAAGGCGATAAAATCTTCCTTTTATTGTACTTGTTTTTTAATATTCCTTCCAGGACTTAAATATATTTTTGGGAGACAACTAGGTCACTACATAATTATGATACGGATACATATCACCACAAGTTACAGCCTCTCTTGCAATAAATGTGCCGCTAATACCACTGTGTCCTGGAACCAGACAAAAGAAACGGAATGACCTCTCAACATGCAAAGATAAAGACTTTGTCTTATGTCACAAATAATGGGATAAACTGGTTTTGATTTAAACGGATATTATTAGAGTAGTGAAAACTATTGCCTTATGTAATTTCATTAAAAGTATATATTCTATTCGTTACTGTTAATGTGTTGTTAATGATTGAGTGTTCTCAATTTAAATTTATTATAATTTATCATTTTTTTAACCCAAAATCATATTTAATATTAGGAGATAAAACTAAAGATAGCATTTATAAATGGGAAAAAGGACGATGTTTTTCTATGGATTTATATTTTTCATAACTTTGTATTAAACATGGAGGTTTTTTATTCCAATAAGATGAAGACGAAATAAAGATATGTAGTTGAGATAACTTTTGAATAAATGATAGATATTGTAAACAACGGATGATCAGATAGATATGTAAAACTTGGTAGTAAAGCATTGAATACATTGCTCCAGAGATAAAAGGCCTTTGGACTTTGTTCTAATTAAAAAAAAAATAATAAAAAGAAATAGTAAAATCATTCGAATACGGAAATTAGTTTCTTACTGTCCTAGTAGTCGAATTATAAGATCGAATTATAATTCAGATTCGCATAACAGACTCTTTCGACTTGATGTTAATGGAAATTGGAAAAAGAAGAATGAGGAAAGTGATCGCTTCGAAAGTAGAGGAATGAGGATACCATTGTTTCTTTAATGGCTAAATCAGATTCAAGCTGATCTGAGAACCATTACAGTTTTCCAAGTTCATTTTAATTAATGTAGCTACATGAAGAAATATAAAAATCTAGCGTTGCGCGAATCAGAATGATTTTGTTATTCGAAAAATTAGTAATTACTAATTTTACAATTCGACTATTAAATTAGTAATATTGGTATTGGAATAATTTTACTAATAATTATTTCCATTTAACCGAATGACAATAAAAAAAAATTCTTTTCCACTATCTTCTACCTTAATATTAGTTGGTAGTGAAAAGACAATTAAAAAAAAGAAATGGCAAAAATTTGTTCAGTTACTGATTAATCCTGTATTTATGCAAAATAGAAATAGTAATTTATTTATTTACCTGTTTATTTACTGCTTAAAATGATAAATTTCAAAACTTGTTATTTTTACCAAATATATTAAATTGATTACACTATTAACAACCATTAAAAAATTGTCTCGTCATTTTAATGATTGGCTTGATTCGGCTACGTTCGTACCGACTTATACAAAGAAATAAATAATTATTTTAGCTATTAGTAGAAGATTACAGTGAATGGATAATATTAGTAATCAAATAATTTTCGGATTCATTTGAATAGTTTAAATGAAATACTTAATCGAATAATCGAGTCGTATTAGTAAATTCACGCATCCTTAATACAAATTCATAAAGACAGTGAAGGAATGGTATTGTGTGGGCTAAGTGCAGGAAATATCTTTCTCTTAAATTCATCGACGACGGTGGAGGGTCGTAAACAGAAGTACACAATCATGAGATTAACTTTCAATTCAATCGGTATCCAATTTAGTAATAGTCATATATTAGTTACTATGTTTTTCTCTATGATTTTAGTAATATAGATATTTTTATTAAAAACATATATAAATTATTGTTCATAATTTATATTTATATTACACGATTAAAATAGTTCTCAATTCAAATTGTATTGGATCAGAAATTTTAAAATAATTAGTTTATATTATAATACCAAAAAATAGGATATTATGTTAAAAAAAATATGTGTCAGTTAATAAATAATTTCAGCTTCCCCTTTAATAATCAAAATTAAGACAAATAAATGGGATATCTTTTAAAGTGAAAAATGATGAAAATTATTCTGTGATTAAGTTTCAATTTTTGGTTTGTTTTTGTCCATGCTCACTAGTGGATTATTTTGATTAACACTTGATCAATGTAAAATGGCTAAAATAGGTTGTACGTAACTGTATCACCATAGACAACATAAAAATTTCAAGACCTACATTAATTTAAAGTTTGTGCGTTGTTTGTAAGGTTTTCATTGACTTTTAGTGATAATAAATCATAAATCATAGTACATAAATCATTTAAAAAGAGTCAAATTGCAATAAATAATTATTAATATTTTGTTTTAATATTTTATTTCCATATAACATATCAATTATTAAAACTGTTATATGCATTTCGTGATTAAAATTCCTTATTATATGCTAAATTAACAATAATATTTTCATATTTAGTGTTTCGCTTAATTTATAATTAGAGAATAATAAATTGATTAATAAATTGGTTTGATAAATAAATTAACAGCTAGGTACTTAAGTGGTTTACGATTTCTGAACAGTCATAGGATATGATGTAATGGTAAATTGTCTATGATCCATTTCATTTCCGCCCGGCATTGACGAGAGACGCATCCGGCATCGTCATTGTGGTAACTTAACGATAATTAAGTTTTTGGACAAAAACCAAGTAAAATGTCTTTACCACGCGTTTACTTCGATGTGGTTGCTGATGGTTTAGCCTTGGGAAGAATTGTGGTCGAGGTAGGTCAACAGTTTTGTCTCATTTTAGAAACTGTCATTCTAACCGGCGGATCCGGCCGGCGTGATGTTAGTGGACCACGCTTTTTCTAGAAGCGCGTCCTTACATTTTCTCTGTCACGTTTTCCTTATTTGTTATTACTATGTTCGATTACACTTACTTTTGATGATATAAATTTCTTTTAAGTTGTTTAAACATGAATTCGTCTCGTCGGTAGATATATATAGGCGTTACTGGACCGTCATAATTAATTCTCGGATGACCGAGATTACCTTTGCAATTGAAGGTCAATTCATTAGAGGCTGTAGTAATGAATGGAATTTTACCACTATGTGCATTACATATTTTAAGCTTATATTAATATTTGAAAATACATTGACCAGCCACTCCTTTTATTGTTAGTTAAAGATTTAGATAACATTAATAATAGTTACCTTTATAAGGCGTTAGAATTAGTATTGTAGAAAAATGAGTCACAAGTATATCTTGTGTCTAAATTAAATTTTGAATATTGCTATTATTAAAATGACAATGTATAATTGTCATTTTATTGTCTACCTTAGAACCACCTTCAACATTGAAGATATATTTTATGGACTCTGAATGCTTCTATGTGGCATTAGTAGTGCTATAGGCAATGGGGGCCATAATAATTAATATTTATTAATAATGAGCATTTTATGTTTATTTTTTCTAAAGGAATTCTCAGAAAAGATTTAGGTACTACCAATTTATATAATAGACAATAACTACAACAATATTTATTTTTTTGTTACAGTTAAGAACAGATGTTACTCCGAAGACATGTGAAAATTTCAGGGCCCTCTGTACTGGTGAAAAAGGTTTTGGTTACAAGGGCTCCACCTTCCACCGTGTTATCCCCAACTTTATGTTGCAAGGAGGTGACTTTACAAACCACAATGGCACTGGTGGCAAGTCCATCTACGGTGAGAAGTTCGCCGATGAAAACTTCGTCCTGAAGCACACTGGACCTGGAGTCCTGTCTATGGCGAATGCAGGCCCCAACACGAATGGCTCCCAGTTTTTCATCACCACTGTCAAGACCTCATGGTTGGATGGCCGACATGTCGTCTTTGGAAATGTTGTGGAAGGAATGGAAGTGGTGAAACAAGTGGAAGCTTTGGGCTCCCAGTCTGGCAAGCCATCAAAGAAAATTGTCATCGCTGATTGTGGACAAGTTTCTTAATTTAATTCTTTAATATTAATGTATAATGCAATATTTTAAGTTTTAACACTGTCCTCCTATGTAATACCTTCCCAGTCATCATAAAACATTAAAGTTAACTATGGATCATTCCAAATAATTATGCTGTTAAATTTTATGCTCTTTTAGGTCGCAAATTAGGTATTGCATTTATTTCTGCGCATTGGTTATAATTCATAATAAATAAATTAACATAATGAAATTAATACAGTATGTATATTCATTAGCCTTCAGATATATATAAGAGTGGGTACAGTGGCTATAAAAGTAATTCTATCTGCCATTCAATATATTTTTTTTTAAGTTTTGTAATGAATTGAAACTTGGTGGTTTCTTTTTGCTTGTGATTAATATATTTTTGAAATTTATTTTTTCTTTAATTACCACCCCATAAAGTTTGCATTATCATTATTGCTACTGTTTTAAACATATCAATAGCCACTGTTGATTAAAAAAAGTGCTGAAGACCTAGATGAGAACCCTTCCCCCATCTCTTTCCCCCTAACAAATTATAAATCTAGATACGTTTTTGTTAATGCATGCTTGAGAAATGCGATTTTGTCTCATTTCTTGCACGCGGTAGTGATAACGTATTTAATGATAAATTTGTTTACTAGCAGTTAGGTTGCTCATTTGATAACTATCGATTTTACCTGTTAATTGTCAACAATTTTTTAATAATTATTTGACGACCTTGCTGGTGTAGCAGTTTAACATTCCGCCTCACGTTCTAATGATCGCGGTATCGGTTACCACAATGTAAACATATCTGGAACAAGGGAATTTCAGTTTGTCAGCTAAATTGGTAGATGGGGAGGAAGGTCTAGGAGTGGAGGCCGCGTATCTGTATGCCCTCCTTCCAGATGAACCGACGATATTAAGAAGTTTATTGGGAATTTATGGATGCGAAAAGCGGAAGATTACACATAGTGGAAGACCTATGTCCAATAGTGGATATATATAGGCTGATATGATGATGATAAAGATTTGTATTCATGAGTATTATTGTATTACGAAAAAGTATCAATCATTTTAGTATTTTAGTACACATGGTAGAAATGGATTTTTAGTAATGAGGTTTATCTAACAGACCCTTAGACTTTATACTACGTCTATGAACAGTCGCATTGTTAGTAGCACCATAGCAGGTAGATCACGTGGGCTTCCCCCTGGAAACCATTCTCAAATTCGTTATGTTGGGCCAACTGACCACCATTTATTCTCACTGGTGCCCTAGTGCCAACATAAACCGATAGTGCAGGTGGGGTTACATTTCATTCCATACATTCCATTCACTCGATAAAAAAAAGTACACGTGATCGGAGACTATCATCCAGTATCTTCATGAGTATATTTAAAATTTCAAGAGTAATCTCTGTAAGGTTTTCAATAGATCAAACAAGTTTAGAGTCTAGTCTTTTAATAAACTGAATATGAAAGATAGATGATCTACGTATATCAGTGATTTGACGCGAAGAACTTTTATAACTACATTAAGTATATTTTTGCCGACAAAAACGTATGAGCCCCATAACGTGTTGATCGACAATCATATTATGTGCCTTCATTTACACCTGCTCTATCTGTCTAATTTATCAATAACACTAATATTCGTAGCATCATCAATAGAATTGTCAAGGTCGATTTTGGCTATGTTAATTGATGTGACTGTAAAATGTGGCTTGCGCGCAGATACAGTCATAAACACGATTGGATCGCTCGATCGAATTAGTTTCTTTCTTGGTTAGTTTTTTTTTAATGTGTGATTATGGAATGGTAGCCCCGCCTGCGCTATCAGTATACACTGGCGAGGCACCAGTGACGGATGATAGGTGACGATGAAAAAGCAGGTCAGTTAGTCAATCGTGACGAATTCCACTAGAATTAATCACTATAGTTTCCAGGGGGAACCGCGTGGAGGTCGACCTGATATATTGATACCCGGGTGTATTGCTAGTTATAGGGAAATCAGACTCCATTACTAACAATCCCTTTCCTCCCTTTCTTGGTTAGTTAACAAATCTATTTCCTTAGGTAGGTACATAATCTTAGGAGGTGGGGGGAAAGGGATTGTTAGCAATGAAGTTTGACCCCATATTTTCTATTGGGTCGATCTTCACGTAATTCCCCTGGAAACCATCGTGAACAATTCTTGTTGAAACTGACCTGTTTCATCCTCACCTATCATCTCTCACTGTCGGCTCGCCAGTAACATGGGCGGAGTTACCATTCTATTATCACCCATTAAAAAAAATCATAGTAGGTTTATGCCCCAACGTCAGTAACAGTTTGTATTTCAGATATTTCACATGTTTATTTAGGTTTATTTATTCCTCTGGATGTGTATGCCTATGTGGATTGCACAGATTTACCCCGTTACGTCGACCTTCACGTGCCTCCTCTTCCGAAAATCATCACGATTAAATTTTATTGAATTTTTCACAAACTGACCTGTCTTCATCATCAACCTATTATCAGTCACTGGTGCCCCGCCAGTATACACCTATAGCGTCGGCGGGGTTACTATTCCATTATAACTCTTTAAAAAAAAGTGAATTAAGTAAATGCTGCCGTATACATAACAGTAGGTATAAAATCGGGTAAACAAGGTAACAATCGTTGATAATTTTAACGTAAATTTTTTTTGTTATTCAACATGTTTTTCTTACTGCTAGAGAACTCGGTAATCAGAACAAATATTTGATAATGCCCAGTTTTATAAGAAGCAATTAGGTATTTAATTTACTCCACTTTTAAATATAGTATTTGAAATATTGTTGTCTGTCTGCAGATTAAAAATAATTATGCTTGTTAACAATATTACAAACAGGTTTTTAAAAACCGAGATTATTACGTAGTTGCTTTCATTGATTTACAAGTTTTTGTAATAGTTAGGGAGTTAAACGAGCAGATGATCCGCCTGATGGAAAGCGACTATCGTCGTCCATGAACATGTGCAACGCGAGAGGAGTTGCTTGTGCATTGCCAGCCTTTTAAATTTTTGTAGGCACGTTTTTTGAGTAGTTCAAAACATTGAAAGGGTAAAACTGAAGACGCTACCGTCTTCAGTTCTACAACTTGGACGTACGCGATAAAAATGAACGGGATATACGGTCTGTAGTAGTATGCAACGCTCTCAAGAATTGAGGGTGAACTCCATCTATACTCGTATGGCGAGAGGTACGATGGTAAAAGGTATTTGAAATATTGTTAGCAGTATTCTTAATTTTAATCTATAGACAGATACTATAATATACAATTTACAATAATAAATGTTCAAATATTTATGGACCAATCTTATTTTTAAAAATTAGACATTGGGTTTGATTCTGAGGCACTATTTCTCTAAACCTTTCTCTGAAAGTAAAATTTCAATTGATATCACAGTGAAATCTTTATTGCAAAGACCAATATGAACTTAATTTCTATTAGAATACAGTCAAAATTATTATAATTTTAATTTATGGTGGTCCATAAAACAATCATTTCCCGAAATAATCAAATAAAAATATTAGATTAAGAGATAGAGAAATGGCGTCTCAGAATTGGCCCCACTATCAGTTGCTTGCGTTGATTACTGAGTTAGTTTACAAAAATAAAAATAATGAAGAACAACAAAAAATAGTGTTAAAATTATCACTGACTAGATTACCTTATTAAACAGCTAGTATAAGGTCGAGTAAACTTCATACTAGCTGTTTCCTGTGGCATCGTCTGTGCGGAATTCGTTATTTAACAATACGTGGGAATTGGGATTTAATAAAGTTTTTAATTTAACCCTACTTATTTGTAATTATACATTATACATTCATATTTGTATTTACTCATAATTAATACATATAATAGATATCTAAATATATATACACGCCTTTACTTAGTTCATTAACAGAGAACTTTTTTTTTAAATAATTTGTCAAAAACATTCAAAAGTTTTAATTGGTTTTTAAAATGGTATACACTTGCGACGTTGCCACAATTTGGTAAGCTAAAGTTTTGAACGGTCTTTATTATGTGAAAATGAGTTTATTTGTTACCTCTTAGCGCTATAAATGCTTTATCAATAAATATGAAATTTGGTGTATAGATACTATATAGCAGTGTTTTTCAACGTGTGGGTCGCGCCTCTGGGGGTCCGGAAAGCTAGAGTTGTGAAAACTACTTGAGGAAAAAAAAAAAAAAGTTATATATATATATATATATATATATATATATATATATATATATATATATATATATATATATATATATATATATATATATATATATATATATATATATATATATATATATATATATACTATATATATATATATATAAAAAAATTAACTTGGCTCAAGAAAGTAATTTTGAAGATTTTGATTATTTTGCATAAAGAAAAATAATTCTTGAATTAAGTAAACTTTCTTAATTTCAATGAACTTGATTTAAGATTTTTTTTCTTGATATAACACAATCAGATTCTCCAAAATTATTTTCTTGAGCCAAGATATTTTTTCTTGCATATGCGTGTTAATGCGAAGGTTGCACTTGTTTTTCAATAACTTAATTCTGTATATATCCAAAACCTAATTATGCAAATGCATAAAAATGTTGTTGCATTTAGTCCTTACAACATCTTTATAACATTATAATGTATTTTTCTTGTATTTTATAAAATACAACAAAAAAAAGTGAAGGGTCGGGGGTTGCGAAATATTTTTCATACTAAGGAGGTCGTGTCATGAAAAAGGTTGAAAGACACTGTTATATAGGTTAGAGAAGAACATAGGCTCCTTTTTTGTCCCGTTCCGTAGAGGATGTCGCAGGTAAAAGCTAGTACCTAATATTAGTAAGGATTATTCCTTGCATTATAAGTTTACAGAATTTGAGTGCAAAATTTCATGTTTATTTTTCATATATCCAACTGAATCAAAATATACCTCTAGGATATATGAATTTCATACAATATCGTTGTGACTTATAATTTGTTTATTTGGAGATAAAATATATTTTTAAAATTAGGCAGTAGATTAATTTGTCATCGCACCTAGTTTTTTGTGGTGCAGGTAGACTGAGTGAAAAAGAGATAATGCCTATATGTCATTATAAACTTTGACTTAAAATACGTTTATCAATTTTCCTGTGAATCATCAATTAACTGGTCAATTAACTTTGTTGTACTCACCTATCATCCCTCACTGGTATTAGGGTAAATGAAAAATTAAAATAGGATTACCTTTCCATTTTCATTAATCAAAACAAAATCTATTTTTATGAGTGATTATAACGACTTTTTATATATTAGATATATTTTGATATTATAATTTATAATTATAAATTTTCGATAGGAAGTACTAGTTCGAATAAGAGTGTAATAGGAACAATGTATTTGCAGAATAAAATAAAGACAAAGAACAGGTGAATTGGGAACGACCGTTAGTTTTATTTTTTAAAAGGCATTTCATTAAATCTGATTTCTTGACAATGAATTTTATATAATACTGATAGCTCAATACAGTTTCTAAAGATAATGTGGATTCTAAATGGTCTATTACAACTGCTTGGGTTTGCATTTGCATTGCAGAAACATTTAATGAGCGTTACAAGAACTGGATTACTTGCATAGTCCGCTATATTATTTCAGATTAATCGAATTATGATTCGTTTTAGAGTTTCATTTTTAAATGCTCTAAATTTATCATGTTACTTTAACATTGAACTATTTATGACAATACAAGTTTGTGTGTCTTTAGATAAATACATAACTATGGTAGGTACATATAGGTACTTATGAATTAATACAGAAATGACTTATTGCTGTAGAAAGAATGTCTTATTATATATCTTCAAATAAAATAATGGAAGAATGGATGGAATAAAATTTTGTCCCACAAAAAAATCTATTTTAAGTTGACAAAATTAACATGGAATCAACAGGAGAAAAACTTTTCAATTAAAAAAAAAATCATCAAATCAAGTTCAATACGAAAAATACAAGTGATTGTAATTTACTTCTTTTTTTTATCCGGTTGACAAATAACATGACTTTAATTCTAAAACTAGCAGATTCTTGGACCTATTATATTTTTTTATGCTATTTCTTAAATTAATTCTTATTTTAATTGACTAGAATATTTTATGACTCTGTTATTAGGACTGTAAATAACTTGCACTGGTCGTTAATGTTTAAGTTATGGAATTTTGAAACATATAGATCAATTCTATGGTTAGCTATAAACTTAGATAGTCACAGATATATATGTATTTAAAATGTTATCGTAACTGTATGTACCTACTTTGCGTGTCAGTATTAGGCTTTATCACTCTAACTAAATATCAATATTATTCTTACATGAAAATCTCGAAGAAAGTTTGGAGTGCAGAAGGATATGCTATCAAAATAAAAAAAATAAAAAGATTCAACCAATTACGTCATTCATCATCAGTCCATACAAACATAACGAATTATTTTTTCTGTGCAGTAACTTTTTCAATTTTTCTATTCCTAAAAGCCTAATGTAGGACTGTTATGAACTCTTTAAATAAAACTTATTTAAATTCAGATTTTTGCATTTAAAATATAATTTCAACTCATATATACCTACACGGTATATAATCGAGTCATTATATTTAATAATAAATTTGCTACTGATGCAAACTTCCTGTAATTATTTTAATATGTGTTTATAAAGTAAAGCAGTATCTAATTATGTGTATTAGTATGATTGAAATAAGGAAATGATGCACCGATTTCTTTAAGTGTGACGAACAATCGAATTATTTATTCCCTAACTATAATAGTAATTATAATAAGGCAATCATAAGGTTAGAAGTATGAGAGACAGAATTGTAGTGAGGATGTCTATGGTTCTCCGGGTCGTTCCCGAGTCATGATTGCATAGAGATGTGGTGCAGCATGAGGTGCATGCGTGGAGTTTGGTCCTCTCCCCTATAATGATGCAGCCCGGCTCGCAGTGCTTAGTACAGTTTCGCTCCAAGGCCCACATCTTTAGTGCTGTTGTGGAGTTTTCAGTGGAAGTTGTATATGAGAAGCGTTTGACCTGTCGGAGTGGACGAAAATATTATAGGTATATTATAAAATTATTATAAAACATATTAGTAACTTACTATAAAATAAAATTGCTGTACAAAAATTCTATCCACTATGTGAATGATTTCCATCAAAATTTAAAATTATCACGCATTATCTATGCTTATATTGTAGTGTTGCTAGTCGTATGCAAAAGCTTTACGTTGCTTGGAGCGACGGTCTCGAAGGTTGTGGTTGTTGGTGGTTTAGGACTATGTTTAGGACAGAATCATTAGTGGATCATATTCCTACTTATTTTGGTGCTTTTATTCTCATTATTGCCTCTTACGACTTTTTGGGGATAAATTAAGATTAGTTGATGCTTTAAAAAATACACAGATAGTATGCATTTTAATACAAAACAGATAAAACTGTATTAGAATTAAATTTTTTAATGCCATTAGTTCAGTTTTTTCTGTATCTGGGGAGAGAACTGAACTGAACTGAAAATTAGCAAATAAACCAAATAGCACAGACCTATTATTAACTTTTGGCAGACTGTTTTTATTTGTATTACAAGTTGTATAACCGTTTATTATGTAGTTTGTATTATAAAATATTATTAAATGTTATTACATCTACAATAGGTTGTAAAATGATTTCGGTATCAAATGTTCGGTGAATTTTTAATTTATCCTAATGTGTTACGTATATGTCCAGGTGGCAACCCTACTTATTGATATGACATACCATGCACACCCGCCGATCGTTGTGGCATTTGTGTATGAGTGCGGAGTTGTTCTGGCGGAGGTCCGCACATTTGTCCTCCGGCACCTCGGCGAGGCATCTGTAGCACCAGAGCTCGTTGTTGGGCCGGGCCGCCGCGGACGTGACATGGACGCTGTCTCTTAACAAGTCACAATCACCTTCTGGAAGCAAACGGTGCAGTTGTGTAGTTAGCATCATATGTAAAACTGGTGAACTGAAATTGGTATCATAAAATTTTTAAAATAGCGAAAACGAAGGTAAGTACTGATATAATTTTGTAGCACAAAAAACCTGTGCGACTTTAATTGTGATGAAATTGGTATGAAACCAATAAGGGCAAAGCCTATTTATTATAAAAATATATATAGTACAATACACACAATACTCAATATAATAATATGCACAGTTGTTTTCTGAAGTCGTTGAATATATTAAAATATTAATTATCAATTATATTGTAAAATAAAAAAATAACTTTTGGATATGGTACTCTAACCTGTATCCATCCATCAATATATTCGAGTTCATATAACTATGAAGGAGATACACGTCCCTAACTTGACGGAGGCGACATCTACTGTGCAATAAATTAAGTACCGATTGCTCATCATTATCTAACCTGGTAAATTATCGTAGTTTAAAATACGAATTAACATTTACAAATACTTATTATTATTCATAATATTTCATTAATGTGATGACTAATATTCAAATGTACAGATCTATATTAGTTATACATTGTGCTACAATAAACATGGATAAGATTTCTTTTTTTGAGAAATATACCAGCTATTAACCTATCTATATAATTTACCTAAATGTTTGATTTTAGTTTATATTTTCATAAAGGAAAATAACAAATACACTTGAAAGATATTGACCATAATTTTTTCATACTACACGACCACAGATTATAAGATTTGACATTTCGGACATAAGGATACTGCGGTAAATCAAGTTTGATACAATGAAATTATATTATAAAATATATATAAATACATGCGATAAAAGGACTTAAATGTTGATTATTTATATAAAGAAGTTTGTTTTGACATACCTGATGTGAGTAATGACAGCGAGATGAGTATCAGAGAGCGCATGGTGTGTGCACTGTGAGATGCGCATGTCCCAGCATCCCGGTATCGATTTGGTCTCGTCCCGGACCTGTTGCTGCTCCCGGCTGGTCACGCCCACAGCCCCCCCCCGCAACATACCCTCAAGGCTTCACCGAAACACTTTGATCGAGGAAAACAATCTCAACTTTCTGAATTCTTGAGAAAATTAAAAACTTTCGCTTGATCTCCGCCAGCCTATTACTGTATTTACTGACGGAGCTACGAATCATTTGCTATTAGTATAATTAGAATGAATGTAGTAGGCCACTATTTGTAACCGTGTAAAGTGTTATTTGAAAATATAAATGTGATATAAGCAAAGTTATATGTCTATTTATATTGAATTTAGTTCTGGCAATTGAAATCGATTGATTCTGTCAACTGTAATGAGATTGGGGTGACGATGATATGTGCCGATTGTTTAATTCCTCCATAGTAATATTACAGATTATATGATACGATACTAGTTGTATTGTTGTTAGTTTATTCCTTTGTTCTGTTTTCACTGGTAGGGTTAGTTTTTTTGTTGTATATATAAAAGTGTTGTTAACAATAAATACAAAAATACACTATAATAGTTCCCTTTCAGCTTCTCAAAGGTTGAATGCCACATTAAAAAGGTTCAATACAGAATAGCGAACTTATCCCATGGTGATCCTCATATCATATGGGATAAGTCCGCCATTCTATATTAAACCTTTTTAAGGTGTCCAATGTAAAGTATGTAAAATAAAGATTTTACAATACAATAATTTTAACATAATATACACAGTCTATGGGGGAGGCATATGTCCAGCAGTGGACGGATAATGGCTGAAATGACACAGTAGTAGCATTAATTCATTTAAATTTACGTTAATACTTATCAATTCATTTTTGTTTATCTCAATAGTATAGACATATTTTTGGCCATTGTAAATATCAATTTTACGAAACAGGGGCTAAGTTTTGAGAGAATATTAATAATAAACTAGCTAAATTAATTATTTCGTACATGAAATAGTAAATTTTTTATAAAGTCCGTGATCTTAGGTAGATTTTTCCATAATTATTTATATATAAGTCTTCAAAAAGTTTCCTAATGCACGGTAGTTTATCAAATATTTAAATTAAGCTAATTAACACCAACAGCGGTTGTAAAACAATAAATTGGCCAGTTTTAATTCACAATGGAAAATTAAATCTCTTGAAAGGTTTCCTTGTCTCGAAATACTTTTATTTATGAGAAATGAAGTAACCGGTGGCAACCCAGTAGTAATTGTTTGTTTTCAAAAGTCGTAATTAAGATTTAGCTTCGTAAAAAAATGACAATTGTTCGTAAATTATATAAAAATTCGTTAAGAGTTTATTCTTAGCGACTACAGCATGGGCTTTTTTAAAAAGAGCGTAATTAGAGTTTTTTTATGCTTCCCTGGTGTTGCATGTGTCCATGGACTACGGTAACCGTCCACCATAAGATGGGCTGTATGCTTGTTTGCTACCATAGTAGTACAGAAAATTTATCTACCTATTAAATCAGAAATATTACAAGTTATCGCTTCAAGTATTATTTTTTTTATGGATGATAATGGAATGGTAACCCCGTCTGCGCTATCGGTATATACTGGCGTGGCACCAGTAATCCGGCGTGGCCCATCCTGCGAATTCAACTAGAATTAGCCACGATGGTTTCCAGGGGCAACCATGTGGAGGTCAACCTGACAGGGTATATTGCTAGTAATGGGGCTATTTGGCCCCATTACTGACAATCCCTTTCCCTCTGCTTCAAGCTTTTTTTTAATGGGTGATATTGGAATGGTAATCCCACCCGCGCTAACAGTACACACCGGCGGGGCACCAGTGAAGGATAATAGATGAGAATGAAGCAGGTCAGTTAGCCCATCGTGACGAATTCAACAAGAATTGTTCACGATGGTTTCCAGGGGGAACCACGTGGAGGTCGACCTGACAGGGTATATTGCTAGTAATGGGGTCAAATAGATCCCCATTACTAACAATCTCTTCTCCCCTCGACCTCTGCTTCAGGTTGTTGTTGCTATTGTTAAAGTAGCAAAATGGTATATCAAAACTAAGGACGGGTTTATTAATAACAGGGACAAGTGGTGCCTTTGTTAACAATATATCTTAGTAGTTCGATTTCTACACGGTTCTCCCGAATACAATCATGGTTAATCGTTGATGTTTTTGTCACGGAGAACCAACTAATCTGCTTTCATCCCTATCTATACCAGCGTTAACCTATTCTATTTACTAAAAAAATAGGTATATTCAATAGAAAACACAGTATACTCTGTTATGTCCATGGTACTGCTCATATCTATAGGCGACGGTTATCACTTTCCATCAGGTGAGCTGTCAGCTTGTTTGCCATTCTAAGTCGTATAAAAAAAAAAATTAATAGAATAACAAAATTTTATTCTTTATTGTATACAAAAATGTATTGCATTAGAATAATAATTACACGTAATAGTGTAACAGTGATTACTTCCAGCTAACTCAATATGAAATAAATTCACAGTTCATTCGTAATTACAAACAATGTTATTGTTAAAAACAAATAAAATATCTGTACAATTGAAAACACGTCGGAGTTTTTAATTACATAAATATTTTTACCTAACGAAATATAAATATATATCAGTAAATTATATATAAATATATAGTTATATATTATATAGCGATCCGAGCCAGCTTCGCATGAATAGATAGAATTTTCGAAAATCTTATAATAAAAAAAAGTTTCAGCCAATTCAACTGATCGGTTATTTTATAGCATTTTATAAGTGATTCTTTCGACTGATATAACTTTTTTATTTATGAACCGATTGAAATAAAACAAACATTAAGTAATAAATGGTGCAAACCACAACGCATTAGTGTAAATCGCATTCAAATCGGTTAAGCCTTTCTGAAGTTAAAGTTCTGAGATTAGCGTGAACAAACGTACAGACAAATAGACAAAAATTCTAAATATAATTGTTTTGGGTTCTATTGAGTTCATAAAGCCCCCCTATAATATATATAGTTTTTTTTATATATCTTCCATGTACAGACAGCAATCATAAATATAATACCATCAGGTGAGCCGCATGCTCGTTTGCCCCTGTGCTGTAAAAAAAACCTTCATAAATAGATGAGAGATAGATCCTTCTTCGGGAGAGCCGTTTTCTTTATTTATCTGCTTGTTATTCGTAACCTAAATAAAATTGAAGCTAATACGTAGCACGAAACATCTGGAGTAGTTTATCACACGGAGTTATTCGCTCTGGGAGAATTTTATGCTTTTAAATCTTTCGTCGTGTTGGTTTCAAGTTTATGAAACAGTTTCTTTGGACCTGCCGCATGTCTATTGCTATTCACTGTCTTCCATTTCGCCAAGGAGAGCTATTTTTAGACATTAAAGCTTATCGTCACAACTGTATGACCTTAATTGCTCATTGTCTTAATTGCCTAAGTCACTGTAAATTTTAGCATTTTTTTCTAATATGACTATAAACATATAGCCATATTGTACTTCTAAGAAATTCTTAATTAATATTATTATATATCTAAACAAAAAAAAATACAGATTTGATATTATGTTTGTAATGACTACTTTCAAAATACCGATTTTAAAACTAAAGCGCGTTGAAATTACCGTTTTTGTAATTTAGTTTATAAATTTTCATGTATAACGTTACTGTATCACCATGTAATTTATTGAGTTCTCCTATAATATACATACAAATAATTTTTCTATATTTACAACTTACTATTATTTACTTGTTTACTATCCAAATGGCTAAAATCTCTTTCTATATTAAGATACATACTTTATTTTAAAGCGGTCATTTGACCGCTCATAGTAGGATTAAGTATATATGAAATGTCGGTAGGTTTAGTGTTAAAAATGTTTTCACCTGTAGGAAGCTATATTATCAATGGATAATATGAAATATATATATTTTATTTAAAAAAAGAATTAAAAGTTTTTTCTATCTATCCGTGCGAAGCCGGGGCGGTCAGACGCTAGTTTTTCAATAAACGCATTGGATGGTTTAAAAATAAATTGATTATCAATTGAAATAATAAATAAAAAATTTTCTGATAGTTAAGTTAGAGTTTTATGTAGCTCACATATCATCGTCATCCCCAATTTTGTTGTGACACAGAAATGGATAAACGGTGATATATGTATCACATAATGTGACCCGGGACCTTATTACGTGAACCAAGAACGTGTTTCACGTTTTTACTTCGCGTAAATAAGATCTCGGGTAGGTACAGATAAAATAATACTTTGTGTCGTATCAATTTGGGAAATGAAAATTTCTAAATTGGCTTGTGTCTTGGTGTTCTGGTTTGTGTTCTTACGTGTTCGTTGTTACATATGTATTGTAACATATATATCATACCTATATATATATGTCATAACATATGACCGTTAATAAATTTCTATATTCTATTTTATTAATATAATAGAATATAAAAATTTATTTTAAAGGATTTTGAAGTTTGTAACGATTGATGGATGGATGTTTGTAAATCTTTCAAGCTAAAACTACTGAACGGATTTGAATTGAATTTACCAGAGGAAGACTTTGTACAAAAGTCGATTGCTTGGGTACCTCTGTCCCATTTGTGTTTCAACCGTGAAGCAGTTGTGTTTGCATGCCTGTGTTTCGGTTTAAAGGGTGGGATATGGCGTGAATTTACTGGGTATAGAGGAATAACACCTGAGTCCTCAGGAATGGCAACGCATGGGGGGTACATGGGCGAAACAGTATAGTCTGTTATGTCCATGGTACTGCTCATGTCTGTAGGCGACGGTTACCACTTTCCATCAGGTGAGCTGTCAGCTTGCTTGCCATTCTAAGTTGTATAAAAAAAAGAATGAAATTGGGTACACAGGTAGCTTATATCCTGACTTAACACATATGATATTATATGTAGCGATTTACGGAGGCGAAGCCGCGGGAAAAAGCCATTACGGAATATTCATACTTTTAACTTTTTGAAAATTTTATTTCATTTGCAAGTGATATATTTAGGATATATATAGGGTCAAACAAGGAGATTTTTAATTGGGTTGTATTTTTTATGTTTATTACCTTATTGCTCTGATTTTATCTGAATTATAGAAATTTTATCTTTTTTCGGATATAAATATGGATATAAAAAAGTATTAAGAATGAATGTAGATGGCTATAAGAGCAGAGGAAGACCTAAAAAGACATGGATGGATTGTGTGAAAGACGATATGGCCAGAATGGGAGTGAATGC